GTAATAGGCAATATTCGTTCCGAAGAACATCTTAACAATTAACATCTTGGAAAATCTCCATTTATGTCAACGATTCCTGTTAGCGATGTCGCATAAAAATCACAGCGTATTTTATAAAGTGTTCAATGCTTAGGTAAAATTTGAGAAAAAACCCATTATTATAGTAATATAATAATTTTATATACCGTAGTTTAAGAAGCGAAGTATTTTAATGCAATAAGTCATTTTTTAAACTGTAGTTTGTCGTGTGTGCTGATGTAGTGTAGTGTAGGAATAAATGTCCATTTATGTCCATTTTGATTCTTCACTTTGAATGCTGCTAATTACCCCTTCAACCTTATATATTCATTTATATATCACGAGCGATCCGGCCTCGCTTCGGACGAGTGATTTCTGGATCTCAACAACAGTACCAGCTACCGGATACAACAATAGAGGTGACACAAAACAATTCAGGTGACCCCCTAAGTACCCTATAAAAATCGGTGAAGCCGTTTAGGAGCATATACTTACACTTTTTGTCGTTTAGCCCCCATCAGCCAAATCTGTATAGTCCGATAAAGAAATTCGCTCCAAAAAAATATTTAATGTATATTGTCATCGTTGTGTAGTACATGATCGCTTTTGTTTATCCCGGTAGACCGGTTTCCTCGTACGCCCGCGGCGAGCGCCTCGATTGATTTCGCGTGAGTCATACGCTTTGTGCGGCCAAATGTTGCGCCAGCCGACAGGAATATGATATTACACTGGTGTAGTCGCATCTGGTTTTATGAAGGATAGTGAAAAATGTTTGTTTATTTACTTTTTTTTTTTTGTGTAACCGAAAAGGTTATTTCGTGTAGATTTCGATTTGGGTTTGGCTAGAGATACCATTTTTATTTAGGATTTGTCCTGATATGTGAGAAGTTTTGGAATCTCGTCAGAATTGCGATCGGATTTTGAAAATGTTAGGTTTTTTTGTTTTTTTCAACAAAATACAGTGTAAATAAGTTTCGTGCGTAAGAGGGGTAGAATCTGCGACGTGGATTGATCGAGAGTGTACAAAACTAATAATTGATTTGTTTTTTTCATGCTTGTTAATTACGTTTGCAACAAAATGTCAGGCAGGACTTTTCTATAGAAATCAGCTTATTTGTCAGGAAAAATCCTGAAAAATTTTCTATTTGATAACCTTAGGTTTGGCTACACTTAAAATTTTTAGTAAATTCTTTTTTGAAAAAACTTTCTATATTGTTTGTGTTGACTTTAATTTTTTTTTTAATATAATTAATTCAGCTTAGTAACTGCTTATAGTTTTATTGTTGGCTGTTTGTATTAATTATGTGATTTTAGTAATAGGAAACACCGTGTACAGTCATTACGGGGTGATGTTATCACAGCGATATCTTAGTCCTTGAATGCATTAAAAAAAATCCTTATATAAGACAATCTAAAAAGATATTTATCGAGAATCGCGACCCAGTAGTTGTTTAAGTGTAGCCAATTGAACTCTAAAAAAGTCGAAAATAAAAAAAAATCATTAAATTTACACTATAGTTTTAATGGTCCGCTTTCTCTCGCACGTTCGACACCGTATTTGTCCACCTTATTGTCACTAACAGGGTCGATAAACTATAGATTTTTTTAACCGGACCCAGGGGTGGCTTCAATTTACAATGCCCACTTTTCGACAATCCTTTGTACCTTTTGTAACTCGTTTATAGATGGGGTCGAACCCTTATTTATGGGATACCTGAGTATGATGGGCTCTTGTATGTCATTCTTTGTGGCTAGCTTAGTTTTTTATTTTTATGATGTACTTACTATTTGTATTTTATATATCTATGTACCTTATAGGTGAATATTATTTTTGGTTATTCAATGGGTACCACTTAAGGCTGATATTCATTTATCAGATGAAAGTTATTTACTTATAAGATAAAATACAACGTAAGTTAATAAAATAAACTGAAAAAAATAAATAAAAATCGCCTTTAAAAACTAAAAAGACTCAGACAATTCACATTCGCATCTGGAATCGATGTTAAGAAATTAAAGCCCCGACTACGAAACTACAAAAAAAAAGTAAAAACCACTTTTTATTGTTTAAATTATTTTACCATTTTGAGTAAGAAATAATTTAGGTTCAAGGTAACAAGTTGCAGTAACAACTAAAATCTGAATAGTTATATTAAAAATTTCATCCCCTATTTTTTACCCTTAGGGGTGAAATTATTCATTTTTGAATATGCGTATTTATTAAAAGAGAAATCATTAAAATCCGTTTCCGAGAAATTGGTGAACATACATAAATAAAACATAAACGTCGTATATACATAATATATACCTAACCTTTTCGTTCCGATGATAAAAATCAGTTCGCAAAGTATCGTTTCTAACAAAGAGGGAACGATATTTTCATATATTTAGACAAAATGCTTAGCTTTTGCTGAAATTTATTACTATATTTAGGTCTCTATAAAAATAAAGAAGTCAGGGTAACAAGTCTGTCACCCAGGGGGGTGGGCAGAGACTACGTACTTCCATTAAGCACCATCCTGACACACCTCTCTCGCTTTCACATCCATGTATCGTGGTAACTTTTTTTTTTTTTTTTTTTTTTTTTTATAGGAGAGGGGGCAAACGAGCATGCGGCTCACCTGATGGTAAGTGACTACCGCCGCCCATGAACAACCGCAACACCAGGGGAATTGCAGATGCGTTGCCGGCCTTTTAAAAAGGAGTAGGCTCTTTTCTTGAAGGTCCCTAAGTCGTATCGGTCCGGAAAAATCGCTGATGGTAATCGATTCCACAAGGAAGTCGTGCGAGGAAGAAAACATCTTCCAAATCGCACAGTGGTGGACCGCCAATCATCCAGATGGTGTGGATGGTATAGGGAGTTCTGCCGCGATGTGCGTTCATGAAATTTGGCGGCTGGGATTAATCCGAACAATTCCTCAGAGCACTCCCCATGGTAGATGCGAAAGAAAATGCAAAGAGATGCAACATCTCTTCGCAGTGCCAATGAATCGAGCCGATCGGAAAGGGCTCGGTCGTCGACGATTCGAGCCGCTCTGCGCTGGATGCGGTCAAGTGGAAGGAGCTGGCACTGGGGAGCCCCTGCCCAGAGATGGGAACAGTATTCCATGTGAGGCCGAACCTGCGCCTTGTAAAGTTGCAGGCGGTGTGCCGGCATGAAATACTGTCCCGCTCTGCTGAGCACGCCAAGCTTTTTAGAGGCCAATTTGGCCTTCTCTTCCAAGTGACCACGAAACTGCACGTCACTCGATATGTCGACTCCGAGGATACCGATACTGGCTGAGGCAAGAAGAGGAGTGCCTTGAAACTGAGGAGAGGAGATTTAAGAAAAATGAATATTTTAATCCTTATACATAACGTTTTACGTGGTGGGTATGGGAAGAAGCATGTCCCCACAGAAAACTAGCGTGAATTAGCAGCATGATGCTACTGTGTTTCGCAGAATGACGAAAACCGTAGACCCTTTTCACAGATTACGAGGCATCGCATCTTAGTCCTCAAGAGTGATAGCGCATAGCATGCATTTCGATTTTCAACCTAGGAAAAATTCATGTGTAACATGGAATAGTATTACTGCAGCCCATCTCAAAACTGCTGCTCAAAATAAGGTTCCCCCATAGATTGCCACAAAAAATAGTCCTAAACCTACCACACGTCGACTATTCATCGACTACCTACCACATATTACATTCAGCATCAAACTGTTGCTTGTGTGTCTCAGTTAACCGTTACAGCGCAAAAGTCCACTGCTAAATATAAGCCTCCCCCATAGATTACCTTATAAAGGAGATAGTTTTCATAGTTTCTCTCTGTCATCTCATCGCCACCCATGGGATGATATAGGGTAGTGGATATTCTCACACCATCACTACTTGGTTACCTTTGTCACCCCCTTACTTGTATAGAAAATAACAGTCACCACGCCACGTAAAATCGTCAGCACATTTCTATTAAAAGACAATATAGTAAAGGAAACTGCGGGCCGTTGCCTGCATGTGTCAGCGTCGAGACAATCCAAGATCGAAACATGTAGAGATTAAGCTGCAGGAATGTAATAGCGCGATGTGACTCACGCTGCCGCACTCCACTTGTTCCTTTGTTTGTATTGATACAGATATTAAACCAACGATCTCGATCTGTTAGTTCTTAGTATACGTTGTTTAAAACGGTTTATAAAAGTTTGTATATAACGTTTATTATGTTTGGTTTGGATGTTTTTTTTTTTAATAACTGTCACCATAAGCATGTTAAATTCCGTTACCGTTCCCGTTGCAGCCTAACAAAAATCCACTGCTGAACGTGGGCCCATAGATTGTCTCATAGGGGAATATTTTGCAATAGCTGCCACGCTTAGCAGGTGGGTTAGCAACATCCGTTTTTTATTTTTAGTTTTCCTTGTTCTTACTTCTTTACGTTGTTCTTAAGGAGGCGCTGCTGCCTATCTCTGGTTTGTTTCCCTCTGTCGCCTCGTGCGACACCCACGGTACGATATGGGGTAGTGGATATTCTTACACCGTCACTACAAAGTCCACAGACATAGTCCTCTCTCTTTGTAGGAAAGGTTTAGTTAAACCGTAAAGCTTGGCAGTACCAGATGTCTCTCACACCTATGAGGCTGCTGCACGTTGCCAGTCTGGATATTTTACGCCTGGCGGGATGTTATTCTGACATCTGTCAAAAGCCCTAATATCTAATTGGCATTTCCCATGGTTGCCTCTTAAGACAAATACGGAACGAAATAAACTGATAGATTCTAGAATAAGGTGATGATGATGATGAAAAACTTGTACTCACGATTTACTTTAGTCAGACGCTGCCTTTATTAATTGCGGAAACAGCGTTAATGGTTATAAATTTTACTTCCCTTCGGAAAAATATCTGTGTTACTCTCAAGTCGCACATAAAGAAGTTTTACTAACAAAAACATAGTGCATTGTGGACTGCTCTGTTTCTTATTTCTTATTGTCCATCGTCGTCCCCAGGTGTACGTGGCGCTGTTCAAGCCCCTGCGCGTCTCCAGGCGGCAGTTCCGTCGCGTGCTGATGTGTATGCGAAACGTGCGTCACTTAAAGTGCCATGAGCTTTACGCGCACGAGAAAGTGACCAAGGTGGACAGCCTTTCGCTTGTGCTGTCCGGCAAGTGAGTTCTAGTTTGTTTTTATATTACTTTTTCATACAAGTATGTGTGACAAACTAGCATACAGTCACAGGAAAATGAATGCTATGACTCGTGGGCACCCATATCTATCCTCGATTAAGAATCAAAATACAAATGCGTTGTCACCCTTGAGGACTTACATGAAATACCTTGTTTCCAGTAAAATATGTCTCCGAGCCTCTCGTTGACCATACGAAACAAAAACAGCATTAAGCTGCTTATTGACGCTGTTATTCTGTAAGAGCGTGGTCCTTCCCCGATCGAGCCGTTCCGTAAGCCCATTCGTGCTACAACCATAATATAGGAATGAGGCCCTACAACATATAAAATTTGGAATAACTCATTATTATACTATAAGGTAAGGATTTATCGGCATTCATAGATATTATTTACTAACTAGTCTCTTTTTATTAAACCTCAACGAATATCAATCACTTTGAACTTTAATCTTAAAACTCATACATTCTAGTCAAACCTTGGAATACCAAAAACACAAGGGGTAAAATTAAAAAAAAAATTATAGAAGCGATTTCAATATAAATTATTAATGATAACTCAAAAACTACTAGTCAGATCTTGATCAAATTTATATGGGACCACATGAGAACCACCAGCTTGTTGAATCGACTACCACCAGAGATTTTTCCGAACCGATACGACTTAGGGACCTTCAAGAAAAGAGCGTACTCCTTTTTAAAAGGCCGGCAACGCATCTGTAATTTCCCTGGTGTTGCAGTTGTTCATGGGCGGCGGTAATCACTTACCACCAGTTGAGCCGTATGATCGTTTGCCCACTCGCCTGTAAAAATAAAAAGAATCATTAAAATCGGTTCACCTAGAAAATAGTTATGATGATGTAACACAAAAAATAGAGTCGTATTGAGTACCACCTCCTTTTTCAAGTCGGTTAAAAATAATGTGAATGAGCCTGAGACTTTATATCAACGTACCATGTCTGTTTGCAATACGCTCATTGCACAAGATGCACGCGCGATAAGATTCAAGGACTGTGTTCCTGCAAACACGTAACGACGGGTAATTTGTTTTTGCATGATACTCAAGTTTATAGCATCGTGTTTATTTGCCGTATGCTATTATATCGGGTTATCGATAACCGAACTTCTCGAAATGTCCACCGCACTTGTATATGGTGGGTAGGTACTAGTTACTAACCGATAGACGAGGCTCTAACGATAGACCGATGACTGAAAAACCATATGGAAATGCCCAGCCTAAGTTCTACTTACTATTGATGGGCAGCGTCGTTACCAGCGTAAGGGTATCGATAGGCATTACACTTTAGTCACAGTGATTGACCGTGTAGTGGTGGTGTAAGAATATCCATTTCCCCATATCGTCCCGTAGGTGTCGTAATAGGCGATAGAGGGAAAATGAAATAGGAGATAGGCAGCGGCATCTTTCTAATAACAACTTAAAATAATAAAATTTTCTTTATTGATTCTTTATTAAGGATAGATGTAGATGTGTATGGGGCACAGCAACCACTTACCATCAAGTGGACTGTGTGCCCGCTTGTCACCCTTATCCTATAAAAACTATATACATTTACGTGGTAGAGCCATGCTGCAGTTATATTAATAGTATAGTTGTAGCACGAATGGGTCGGCTCGCCCTGGGAAGGACCACGCTCTCAAAGAATTCCAGCGTAAAATAGCAGCTTAATGCTGCTGTGTTTCGTATGGTGAGTGTAGAGAACCGAAGACCCTTTTACTAGAACAGAGGCATTCTATCTTAGTCCTCACGGCTGACAAAGCATCTGCATTTTAATTCGCAGACGATGATAGATGTAGATGTCAACGGGCCACAACAACCACTTACCATCAGGTGGACTGTGTGCTCGTTTTTCACCCTTATTTTAAATTATATTTTTATATATAAAAAATATAAAAAACTGCGGCTGCCAACCCAGTGGAATGAATGGACAGTGATAACGCATCTGCATTATGAATCTCAATTGAGAATACGTATAGGTACTAAATGAGTAACAGCATCCGCTTTACTCCGACCGTGTGCTCGTTTGATTGCATTTTTTTATTTGGGAAGCTTACCGCTACATTTACAATCTAGATCACTATATTACAATTTATATGCCAACAAAAAGCTTCCACATAAATGCAGGAAACATTTACAACAATTCCTTACTCAGACACACCACTTACGCATTCTATTGTGAGGGTAGATCGTTATACTTATTACATAGATAGATAGATAACTTATTTTTTATAGTTAACATTTATATCTTGTTTATGTCATAGCAAGCTGTGCCATTTGCGGTGTTTGCTCTTAGTTAATTTATCTAAATTTAGTAAAGAATAATCTAAATCTTTTCACAAAGCCGCAAGGCATTGAACTGTGGCCTACTGTCTAGATGGTAGGACTCCTTTCCTGCCTAGGAATCCGTCTGGGTGAGTGCCACCCGTTTACCTATTTCAGCCACCAAACCAAAAGTTTACACTGCTGTGTTCAGATCCGAAGGTATATAGAGCGCCAGTACTATAATTACAAGCTGTGAGGCATTTGTTTTTTTTTAAACGTTACCCCCACACTAGGATTTTCTCCTGCGTCGTGGAGGCAGTTTACAAACACAAATTGCACAAGGACGAATATCCAGACCCGGACAATTATTTGTAGACCATACAAATACTTGTTCCGTGCGGGATTCGAACCCGCGGCTCTCAACGAAACAACTCATTGCTAAGCCACGGAGCCGTCAATCCATCCTAGTCCTTCGAGGTGACGCAACTGTAGTCTTCTTTTATCGAAGTTGTCCATGGACTGCAGTAGCCACTTACCAGCAGGTGGACTGTAATTTCGTTTGTCACTTCATTTTTATAAAAATGTATTGCCTTTTAGACTTTTGGCCATGGAAGGAAAAGGGGACATCTCCCGCCGGGCAAGGTGTTCTGCCCGGGGAGCGGCCAACGCTCCGAGTTTTATTTCGGAGCTGTTCTATATATACCGCGTTATCTTCAGAACTTTGATAGCGCGATTTAGGCTTCGGTGCATTTCGCGACAATGGCGCCCCCACAACTTTGTCCAGTATCCTACAGTATTTATTGCAAAGTCATTATACCGTCATACCGTTACAGCCTATAAAAGTATACTGCTGAACATAGGCCTCTCCCATAGATAGTCTCATAGGGGAGATATTTGCCATAGTTGGCAGTTGGCAAATGCAGTTAGGAAGACGCTGCTGCCCATCTTCTAATTTGTTTTACTATGTTGCCTGTTACGACACTCACGGGATGATATGGGGTAGTGGATATTCTTACACCACCACTACACCGTAAGGAAAGTTATTAAATCCTGAAATATTATTTAAATAACATACATATCACATTCGTCTGCAAATAAGCTGATTTTAATCTGTATCAAATTATTGCTAAGTGTAGTTTGTGCACATACATATTTTAGCAGAGTCGTTTTAAATATTCACCTAAGGCGTTTTAGCGGTAATTGAACTGTTCCGAGAATCGTACTGGGGTGCTGCAAATAAACTCACAAGCCACTCTATCCCGCGATGTTATCAGAACCGCCCGGCCGAGCTCCGACGTGGTGATGTCATTGCTCTAACAAGCTCCTTGTGAATGTTATTCAATATTTGGACATGACTGATTTCATACATGGTTTTGCCGTGCTGTTTTTCAACCGACGTCAAAAAGAAGGAGGTTCTCAATTCGTCCAAATCTTTTTTTGAACCGCTTTCGATGATTCTTTTTTATTTGAAAGCTCATTGTTTTTACGTGGTCCCATATAAATTTCATCAAGCTCTGACCAATCGTTTTTGAGTTATTCTTAATAATTTATATTGAATTCGGTTGTACAAAATTTTTAATTTTAGCACTTGTTATTAATTGAAAATTATGTCAACCTTTACCAGCTTCGTATTACGCAGGGCTGTGGGACTTTTTTTCTAGAAAAAGTCCCACAGCCCTGCGCAACTGTCAACTTCTTTTTAAACCAAAGTTTGAAAGCAGTTTAAATCCATAGTTTAAGGCCGAGACTATCAATAAACCACGTTTTATCATAAAATGACCGGCGGCGTGTACGTTTTAAGTCTAAGGTAGGTCCAAACTCTGCTTGTGCGGACTAGATTCTCTTCCAGTTCAATTCGAGTATGAATTCTAAACCACATTATGAATTGTGTTGATCACGTCGCGAATATGAAGCATTTCTCTTAAAGTGTTTTCGTAGTTTACGTGTTGTGCAATACAATACTGTCTGTTAAATATTTAATGAGAACAGAGATTGTGCAGATAATAGAATCATTGATCGTTGGCGTAAAGTGATGACTAATTAAGCAGGCATTAGCATAGGGGATTATGTTGTGTTGAAATTATAGAATTACATTTCGTTTATTGCCTATGCTTAAAATATTAAAAGTTTATACTATTTTAAAAGAAAGAAAGAACATATTTCTTTATTGCTGCAGCTGTTGATGTTCTGAACATCAATTCTACTAATAAAAAAAACTTAACTAAATATTTAAAAAAAATGGATTGCATCAACAAAAAGGGCACCGAGTCAGCATAATGCTACAGTACCTAACAGAGTTACCGCAGCGCTGATATTCTGTCGGAGACACACGCCGACTTGCGAACAATCGCACGAAATTATTTAATACCTATTATATAATTTATAATTACTAAGAATTTAATCAAAGTTAACGTTATATTTAATAGTTATATGTATTAAATATTATATATACATTAAAGTAGCTCACTTTATATTACGTTCCTGTATTCTGTGACTTTATAATGCTAAGTCTACGTTACTGTTTTCAATTTGGGATTTGTGCTCCACTGTCCCGTGGCAATTTAATATTATTTTGTAATCGAATTAGAACAAAGGCCTCTCCCATAGATTGCCACAAAGTACGGTCCTGAGCCACCTGCATCCATCGACTACCTGCGTGTTTCATCAAGTCGTCACACAGACATATTTATAACAGCTTAACGCTG